ATTCAGCCCCTCTATCTTCTGAATCTTAAATTATTTCAGCACGACTAATATTGAATAAAAGAAATTATAGAAACATTACACCTCCCATAAAGCAGGCCTTTCAACTACACTGTGTAAAGTAATACTAGAGCCTATTTATTCAATATCCGGTAAGGACTGGGCACACTTCCGGAAGTAAAAAATATCAAAAAAAAATTGTCAATTTTCAAATCGTCCAAAATAGGCATATACTTATTTTAAAAACAGGATTATTTCGTAAATTGCAAAGCCTAACTGAGCCTCAACTAATATTTTAAAAATTAATTAACATTTTTTTATCTAATGCTTACAGAGCTCTTGTATTGATGATTTCGAAATCAATGCAATTGATCTCGATCTAATGTTAATCTGCAGATTAATTTAATTTATATTCGATATCCCGCATGAAGGATAAGTGAAATGAAGCGATAGAGCAGAGAAATTCAAATCAAAAGTGCCCACAATGGATTTCAAGATCAAGTACTCGGAGTGATGGGTCTACAAAACAAAAACTTCCCGCTCCAAATAGATTTTTTATATTCTAAAATTCATTTATCGGAAGTAAAAACTGGAACTCAACGATCAATTTTTGGTGAGAAAAATGTGTTAAACTAACTGTTTATGAACAGATTGAAAAAAGCATGCACAGCCCTATTACCGGTGAATAACTGTATAATTAAATAACAAGAAATAACATTTAAATATTAAATTTCGATGTAAAGTTCACTTTGCAGAAAAAAAAATTAAATGTTAACGAGAAAAAGGTCACATATTTGAATCGACATGTTTGAAGTTTTTTGCTGTAAAAACTGTAATTTTGACTCAAAACTAGCAGAAATACACTATCTTAATATTTCTAATAGTGCTCAATCTCCCATTAGTGTCTACTTTATAAACTTCCATCTAAATTTTTTACCTTTTCCGTTTTTCTTAAGCGGAGTGCTGATCCTACTCTCCGATTCTTCTTTTTCAACCTTAATAAATAACATATTAATTATATTAAATAGAAGAATAGATAAATAAAGACTAAATAAATAAAATAATAGAAAATATATAACAGAATAAAGAATACATGAAAAAATTGAAACTCAAAATAAAACATCAAANATAAAAAACAGAATTAAGAATAAGTGAAAGAGTACAGAATAAAACACAGAATAAAGAAAAATAAAAGAGTAAACAATACAACACAGAAACAAGAGTAAAACACAGAATCAAGAATAAATGAAAGAGTAAAGAATAAAACACAGAAACAAGAATAAATGAAAGAGTAAAAAATAAAACACTGAATCAAGAATAAATGAAAGAGTAAAGAATAAAACACAGAATCGAGAATAAATGAAAGAGAAAAATTAAGCGAAAAAAAGAATAAGACATAATAGAAAATAAATAGCAGAACTGAGAATAATTACTCTAACAAAAATAAAATAAAAAATCAAAGGAGATAAATAACGATTTAAAAAAATATGACAGAATAGAGAAAAACTACTAGAATACAGAATAATTACTTAAATTCAGAATAAATAACAGACTAATTAAAACAAGCTCTACACTTTACATCTGTTAGTTGAAAAGGATACAGTATTTCTGAATAACAGTTGTATAAACTGAAAAGGGGGCGGGGATTCAAAATTCAAAAAGTAGCTAATTACGGGCTTATCAAAATTTCGATCATCAACAGTTTTGATAAATAATTTGTTATCACGAGTATTGAAGGGCGGGTATATTATGGATTTGAAAAAAAAACCCGTCTGACAGCTCATATTTTCCAGGTATCCCTAATTCAGGTTGATTCTTTTTATTTTGAAAATATGAGCTATGCAAAACCTATATTGTTCTTATCAAGAATTGGACTTCATTTTATCTGTACGCTGAAAACTGTCTTAAATTTTATGGAACGTAAAGCTCAATAAAGCAGTAAAAATTAATGTTTTAAACTTTAACCATACAATTTAAAAATAAAAACCTTCTTTTCTTTTCTGAAGAGTTTAAAAAGTTTCTTTTTCAGTGACAGTGGCATCACGAATTACATTAAAACCTTTTCAAATCTAAAACATTTCTAAAAATTTCTAACAAACAGTCATCTAACATATTAACAAAAAGAAGCTGTCAATTAACAGCTTGTTTTTGTTTCCTTGTAAACAGTAGTCTTCATTGTATTAATATTAACGCCGACCTCAGTACATTACTACATGACTTTTTTAAAATAAATTTGAACTTGTAAGAAATATTTTTTTTTAAACACTACATTAGGTTATTTTTTCTTTAATTTTAAAATGCCCTCTTCCCCCCCCCCCCCACGGAAGTTCGGAATTCTAGAAACTACATATCCCTGAACTTTTATTCAAAATGTCACATTTTTATCGGGACAGAATCACACTGCAAGGGACTATACCCTCAATTTTAGATCAAATGTCGTCTCCGAATAACAACGGTAACCTTGGAACCCTTATCTGATCAATAATGTGGAAGATAATGTCGTTTTTCTAGGTTTTATCAGTATATATTTTTAATTTTTAATAATTCCTTCACAACTTCCTGCAGTAGAAATGTGTAGTCACTTTTGTAGAGAAACAACAATTGTAAATAATCAGTTTTCCAAATTATAAACTTTGATATTCCAATTCATACTATCAAGGATACCGTTGTGAATCGGGCATTGCCATTTTTGCGTGGATGGTTACTTGAAATTACGCGTACACTGTACAGTATCTATAACTGGAATCCCAAAAATAAAAAGGTTTAAAGGGAAATATCTAAATAGGATTACATAGTTGTAAAAATATCCTTTAAAGGGGTGGACTCCACTTTGCGAAAATTTGAGAAGTTTTAAGGCTCTTACGGAGCAATTTTAGATGTAATATAGTAGTAAAAAAATTAGTAATGTTATTATTTGAATCCTAGTATCATATTCTTAAACTAGCTTGAAAACCCAGCGTTGCCTAGAGCGGACCTAGTATGCCTAATTTTGAAGGTTAAAACGACATTTTAGAGAAAAATGTTTAATTAGTCCTGTAAATGTTTGAAGTTGAGTCATACTTACACACAGTACACACAACAGACAAACAGGGATCATCACGCACCTCGGATATTTTAGTTTACAGGATCAGGAATTTTGGATATATGCAGACCATAAAAAGGTTACAAGAACCAGGAACTTTTTAGAGACCGGATAAGGTTTAACTCATTCGCTCTTGACAGTAAGATAAACCAATCGATAATCATCCAATCAGATTTTACGGACGTCCTATTTCCAGCCCTTGCTCGTGAAGCCCCTGAGATGTGGTCGTATAGCTTGCAACAGTAAAATACAATTTTTTATCCATTTTTAGTTAAATGCTGTTAAAAGACCCTACAGATGGAAAAACTCAAAGACAAAAAACCTTACAAACCTTTTGAGTAAATAATAATATAAAAAAATGTTTAAATGGTCGGCCATCTTAGCCCTACCTTAAGTTTTAAATCCTGGAAAGCAGAGAGAAGATCGTCTTCCATCAAGTACTCGGCACCACGTGGGTCAAGAACAGCGGAGCAAATTGTTTCCGGCATTTCGCTCTCAACATCAGAATTCAAAGCTGATTCTAAAGCTGAGTCTCCTTGACACAAAATAACAAAATAAAACAAAGATTTAACCAATGATCACAAAATCATTAAGATAATTTGAAAATAAAACCAAGATAAAGAAGAATTTAAGGAAACACGGATCAAAATAATCAAGACATAGAAACCTAACAATCGCCAAATGACACCAAAGCATCATAAAATATTGATTGAAGATTAAAAACAACAATATGGAGTCAAAACCAATAAAAAAAATTTAAAAAATGATCACATCAAATGAAAAAAACTGTGGGTAAATATAACCAAGACTAAGAAACAGAACCAATCGACTCAATTTTTATTTCAAAATCCCTCAATCTTTGCAACCTGAGAACAAGCATTTTTTCGTGAATAACAAGATAAAATTCAAGATTGATACCGTGGACATAACATCATCATGACAAATTAATTGGAAATAATAATAAAACAAGATTGTATTCATGGAGTCAAAATTATAAAGAAACGGTAGTTCAAACTATTCATTTTCTAAACCCTGTCTTCGTAACCTAGCGGAGAAAATCTTAAATAATTTAAACTTTTACTTTTTGGTCTAGCAGAATTCATACTTTAAAATACCCAAGGTCTACCACGCCAGGTTGCAAAAATACATGGATTATAAATTTAGAGTCTGAGAAGAAGAAATTAAAGTTTTTACCAGAAAATGATTGTTCATTAGCACTCTCATATTCAGCCCCGCTATCTTCTGAATCTGAAACATTAATCATTATTATTCAAAAACTAAAGAGAAAACTTTAGTTTAAAGGGAGAGACTGGCTAGACATGGTACTTGAGCTGAAAATGCAGTATTGTACATAAAAACGTTAGGATTCATTTGATACAAATGAGTTTGGACCCGCCTAACCAGGGTAGGTTGTAATATTTCACCAGTTGTTTCCGTCAGCAGAAGAAACGTTTTTTACAATTATTTGATAATTATTCAATATGATGACATTTTTTTTGCACATACATTTCTTGTAAAATATAAAGGGGGGGGGAGAAGGATTTATTAAAGCTATCCTTTTTCTCCTTTCAATAAGTCTTTTTTAGACTTTTAAATGAGAGGAAAAGGATCTTTCTAAAACATATATAAAGATAAAATACCTTGAACTCTGAAGCTTGTATTACAGGATACCATTCCATTGACATCCTCATCTTCGTTAACCTCTAGGGCAATCTCAGCAAGCTCGAACTCAGGGGGGTTGAGGATGATCTCAGGGACGAGGTTAGGGTTCAGAGTATCCGGGTTATCGTGAAGACTGGGGTCAATAGAGAAAACGAGATCGTTAAGAATGGATTTAGCGCACTCCACGTATTCTTCATGATCTGGAAAAATAAATAAATCATTTAAAATAATTTTTTTTTAAAGAACTGCCATCAATTAATATCAAATTTAAAAGCTAAAATAAAATGATGTATCTGCCAAGTTATTGATTATGTCTCTGGTAAAACATGAACAAATTACTTTTTATTTGTAGAAACGCCGCGGAGTTCAGATCTCACTTTTAATAAGCTAAAAAGAAGATTTTATTTTGTCATCCATTAAGGTTCCAAGAGGACACTTATTGCTGCCCTTTTTCAAAAATTGTGTTAAATTCTTATTTCAGTGATAACTTTGCATTTTAAAGATTTTATAAAGCGAGCCTTATAAATATTTATTTTGTGAAGATATTTTGGACGAGGGGGTGGCGCGCGTGCACTTTTGCTTGGATTTTTATAAAACTGAATTTTGCAGTTATACAACATAATTTTTAATTCACATGCAAAAAATCAGCTTTCTACGACAATTATAAGTTATGTTAAAACACTGCTTAAATTTTCCGGAGAGTAATANGACTGAATTCTCTCTGTCAATAATTTTCTAGTAACCACTATTGCCCAGAAAAAGGTCAAATTGATCATTGGTTCAAATTTAATTAATAGTGAGAAGTAGTTGAACCGCCTATAAAGGTTCAAGATTTAGCGTACTGCTTCCACAACGTGTTGACGGATCAACTACCACTCGCCATTCATAAAACCATGTTTACCTATTCTCGTGATCAATTCTGTTCTCTCCTCCCATTTCTCAGCTTCTAACTGATCGTCTAGACTCGCTATGCTCGCAAATTTATCCTTGTTTTCATCCTCAACCTTTAAATTATTACACTATTACGTATAAATTGTCGATTAAAATTGGCGCAATAAAATGCTTTCAATGGCAAAACAATTTTTTTCATCCAAATTGGGAGATTGGTATATCCCCCTGCCAACCCCCCCCCCCCCTAAAATGGTAGACTTGTCAATTTGTCTTAAGTAGGAGGAACAAAGTTTCAAGTCAGTGGGTTTAATTTTTAAAAGAATCATAAGGGGAGAAGGAAAAATTATTTTCGAAAATCAGTTGGGGGGGGGGGATGATTTCCAATCACCATTGAACACATGAATTGTGCAATTGTGCATCAAAGACACATAAGATTGCTCCATTGTCGACTTCCTATTCCAAAATCTCTTTGTACTAAAATTAAAAAATATAATAAAATTACCGTATCATTTTCTAATGTAACATCTAGGTCCACATCGGAATATGGTTCAGTAGGATGGGTAGAGGGGGCGTGGTTTTCCTTGAATGTGGGGGGCGTGACCTCCTTGTCCGTAGGTGGGGGGACCTCCTTGTCTACCTGGGCAGGACTGGACTGGGAGGGGCTACCCTGAAAATATTAATATTTATCTTAAATTCAAATATCTGATAAAGATTGTTTAAATTTTGCATGACAAAGTATTATCAAAGTTGTCGATATTTTCATTCATTCTGAAAGAGGGAGGGAAGGCATACCCCGTATCATTCATTAGTAATTATACTGTAAAAATATTGTTTTAAAAATGTGTGCTTAATGATCGCTTACGAACGTAAAATTAAAAAGAAATCCAAGAAAAAAATATTTGGTGGTTGTAAACAAATATTTCTATTCATAAAAAAGGCCTTAAAAATAAACTGTACATAATTAATGTTCTTAATCACAAATGTATAACCCATAGAACTTTAAATAAAAACCCTTAATAAATAGCCTTCTTCTATCCCTAAACGTGCTTAATTTTGACAATTTTATTCATTGTCTCTGTAGCATAAATACGCATGGCACGTAAACAGTGAAACCATAATTTTCATCTAAAGTCTAATAGAAAATGCGGATTTCTTATTCACCATTTATAAAACAAAGTTAAACTGTACCCTTGTGAATAAGACATGCAACTCCAGAAATTACGCCAATCCTATTAACCAATTATTGACGAGACGATTAACTCTTAGTGAAGTTGTTTTAGAAGGATCTTGTCAAAACAAACTTGATTCGTGAAAAAATGATATTCAATTAAATTTTTGATTTTTTTTTTGTACAGGGTGACCTGTAAAACATGTAAATCTAGAAAATTTTGGTAATTCAAAATTATTTCATTATCTTCAAAACTTTACTTTTCATTTGTTTTTACCTTAAAGTACAAAGTTCAATTAAACAGTCCTAGTTAAAATAAACTCCTGTTAAAAATAGTAAACAAGATGTTTAATTTTATTTGAATTCTTTGTAACTCTTTAAAGAAGTTTAGAATCCGAACAAATTTGCTACTTTTTTATTGATTCTTTTCAGCGCTTCACTTATTTTTTTAATGTTCTTTTATTTTAAATTTCATCTTAAAACTTAGTTTTATTTTTTTTGCTTTTCTTGTTTATTTTTTTTATCCTACATCATGCAATCTTATTCATCTTAAAAAGGACACATGGGTTTTGAACAAGGAAAAAAAGAAGATTTTAAGAAATTGAATAATATAAGTAAGAAAAGAGAGAAGAGATGGAGGGGGGGGGGGGGGGGGTTAAAAAATTCTCCATTTAAGCAGTTTTCATTCGCATGAAATACAAACCCCTGCAGGTTAGAAAGCCATGTCACTGAAATAGTATCTTTCTTCAGATTTTAAACTTGAAAATGGGTTAAATGTTTCTTAAAAACTAAAAATGAGCTTTAACGAAAAATGCGAATTTTTGTAGATTTTCTGAAGAAAATAAGATTTTTTTTGGATCAAATCATCAAACAGTTTTCTATCAACACATAAATTTTCCCCCTTTTAAATTGTTGATAGGGGGAATTGAGAAATTGATTTAAACTATTTGAAATTTTTAGATAAAACTGGGGGTACAAATATCTTATCTTCAAATAGCGTTAAATTGAAGAAAGCAGAAATATATCTCAAAATTGCAGAAATGTCGCAAATTTGCAATTTACGTCCTGCAAATTGAAGCATTAGATACTTTGTAGGAGAGAACAAAATCAAGTGTACTGAAACTTGTGTTTATTTTTTCTTTTCTTCCCCATCGTTCCTCACTTTAAAGGCACTGTGGGCGTAATTTTAGGAGTGGCCTGCTCGATTTACAACGGTACCTATTATATTACACCCTTATCTGAGCATCAACTTTTCACAAGACACCACCATTAAAAAATTACAAATTTTCAGAAAAAAAAACAAGAATATCTTCTTAATTTTTACTCAAGCAAATGGAGTATCAGCGTGAATCAAAAACGCCACTCTTAAAATAGATGGTCACTTAAAATTACGTGCACAGTCCCTTTAAAAAGTCACTTCTAACTAACTAGGCAATGTAACTGCCTGAAGGCCTAGGAAAGATCAGGCAGTCTATGTTACAGGATAGAGAGAATACAACTGCTAATGCTTACACACTCAAACAGGGATACTCTAATTCCCCAGGGAGGGGGGTCAACTTGGGGGGGGTGGTCTGGAG